CTTTATCTGGGAACCAATGTTTAAGGCTTTGAACTACCGGTCTAATTTCACTACTGTTCCAACAATTGAAAACTGAGTTGATTCTCAAGAGATAGTTTGGTTTCGTTAGTACTTTTGAGCTACCAGTCTAATTTAGCTACCGTTCCAACCGCAATTGAAATTGGGTTAATTTAATTAATGACAATTTTGAATAGATTATTGTGAAGATAGTTTGGAGGAGCTCAATTGGATGCATTCATGTGGACCAAGGCAACGACAAGAGGTACTGTTTTGCCTTTGATATTTGATATCTTCAACCTCGAATGTGTATGTAGTAGAGTCATTGCTGACAACAGAGAACAGCAATTAAAAGTTTCAAGAAAGCAAACTACAGGAACAATTAACATCATCCATGATGTAATAAGGTAAAGAGTGAAGAATCTGATGAGGAAAGGACCATCTTTTGCAGCACCTCAAAGTACGGATATGATCTCCCCCTCGGCTCAAACCAAACAGGCCCCAAATGATGTAAATTCGTTTGGGCACGACACTAGCTAGTCATTTCATGTGGTTTATCATGCCCGTCTACCACGCAACTATAACTTTAACGACCATGGCGTTCCAGTATCTAAAAGTGCAATGATCCATTGGCGTCTGAAGTAAATTGTGCAACTTTCTAAATTATTGTATGGATTCTATTATTTAAATATTATGTTTTGGATAACAAGATGCACTATCTTATCATTGGTGGGGTGGTAATATACATTAAATATTTTTATTTATGTCAAGATTCAAGTTTCTATTTAAGCAATTATAATATTTTTCCCTTCCTGAGGGAAATAACAGATGGAGGCAACTTCGAGCTCCAGATGAAAGGACTGATGGATTAGTGCATAAAAGGTAAAGATCGAGACAAGTTAGGAAATGACAAAAGCTGATAATATGAAAACAATTTTAATTTTCGTAAGTAGAGATTTGATTAGCTTTATTGTCATATTATTGTATCATGTATTGCTAAATTTTGGACTTAATGTTGGGGAGAAGTCTGGCTTCAACTGTTTATGCGTAATTATTTCGTATTGTAAGTGAGTTTGGAGTACTTTTTGTGCTTCATTTTTATGAATTCACTTTTGCTGATTAAAAAAAAAAAAACCGTTGAATCATTACAGAGTCAATTCTCACTAGAACAGTTTGAAAATCAATTAAGGAAGCATGAAATACCCACTGACTCGCTTCTCAATTAAGCTTTTCAAGTGCACTCGCGGAGTTGAGTGTGAAAGATGTCTGCTCCCAGAAACTAACCCACACTTGCATCCTCATCAAAGAGAGTTAATCACAACTCACAAACACGTTGCATTTAGCATGTGACAACAAGATAGAGATGGCCAGCCAGCATTGAAAAACTCACACCCCGATGAAGCACAAACAGGGGTGTCATACAGGGAGTGAGGGGAATCAACTATAGAACTTAAAAAATACACACTCACACAAACGTAATAAACTTTTTGAAATGGATGGATATTAAAGGGAACGGAGATATATGGAACTTGAATGAGTTGCTTATTTATGCTTCCATGACTCAATGAGTTGGTCTAATGTCACATGAGAAGAGCCTCCTTCACTCAAAGCAGCCATGGCTGCATGTTTCATTGCTGTGGTTTGCTCCCTGATGGACTTTCCTTGCTCCAATTCCATCAACTCCCTCACTCGCTTCTCCACCTCAGCCGAGTTCACAAACCCATTCTCCGACTCCACCATCGGTAAAGCTATCTTTATTTCCTCTACAAGCAACACCCTGTTCAACCTCTGTTCTGCATACAGAGGCCATGCCACCATTGGAACTCCCGCACACACTGATTCCAGAATCGAATTCCACCCACAATGAGTCACGAAGCCACCTACCGAGTCATGATTCAATACTGCTATCTGCGGAGCCCATGACTTCACCACCAGTCCTCTCTGTTTCGTCCTGTCCAAGAACCCTTCTGGAAGTAATAAATTCAAATCAGGATCGGATAGTGCCTTGATGGCCACGCTTTGGTTCTCTGCGGGTGGGTTCCTCACCACCCACAAAAACCTTTGACCGCTCCTCTCCAATCCAATAGCTATTTCCTTCAATTGTTCCACAGTGAACAATCCTAAGCTGCCAAAACAAAGGAACACAACACTTTTACTCGGCTGTGAATCAAGCCACGTTAAGCACTCCGGAATACTATTACCGGTGGAGCCGTCACTACTACGATCACTTGTAGCAATCAATGGTCCAATACATTGAATGGGAGCTGTAGGGCTGTCCGGCACACATTGTCCATCTCTTACGGCTTTCAGAGGTCTTGGCTCTAGCGCTTCGAAGGTGTTCACTATAATCCCTGCAGACTTCGGCAATATGGTGGCGAAATCCAACATGAATTTGTAGAGCTCATCATCACGCTCAAGTAAGGGCTTTGGCATGTCTGAGGATGGTGTTGGAGGGATACCTGGGATATCAAGATGAATATCAAGATCTTTGAAGCTTTTAGTAGTTTTCTTGTGGATGGTTGGAAAATAGAGCGTGAACGCAAGACATCCGGCACCAGAGGTGTTGAAGTAGTACACAGGGATGTTAAGAGCAGTGGCTACATCAAAAGCTGGAGTGCTGAAGAAGTCGATGATGAAGGAAATGATGTTGTAGTTCTTGGAGATAGATATAAGAGCATTCTGGACATTAGGATTGTTGAGGCGGAGGGTCTCAAAAACAAGAGACTCGTGGTGGCGAGACGAGGAGATGGAGAGGTTGATGGTAGGAAGCTGGTGGAAGGTGATAGAAGGGACGGTGGCAGAGACCGCAGATATATACGGGGCGGTGGAGTCAGCACCGTAGGGTGGAGGGGGGTTGAGGATGTGTATTTTGAGTGAAGGTTGATGAGTGAGTATGAGCTTGCAAAATTCCACCATGGATATCAAGTGGCCGATTTGGGGAGACGGGTAGAGAACAATAGCTTCCTGCATGGCCAGTGAACGGACCGTCCCCGGATGAGTGATTTCCAATTCCAACCTTTCCGAGGACATTTGGCTTTGGAGTTGAAACCAAAGGGACTTTTATTGATATGCAACTTCGCCTACGCAAAATGCCAATGGAGC